GGCCTTGGCATGTATAATCAATCTCCGATTCTCTATGTTTTGGATTCGGATTCAACAACGTTTCAAATTTGATCACTTTTTTATAAGAAATATTAGATGGACATTGAATTAAAAAAAAATATTAGATGGACATTCAATTAAAAAAAAAAAAATAGATGGACATTGTTTACATGATTCTTTGTTAGGTGTGTGATGTAATATGTGAAAGTTGTTCTCGAATGAATCGGCTTTTTGGAAACAAAAGGAGCCCACTTGACATTATACTCTTGGTTGGTTTATTATTCGGCAAGAACTACATGTAATACTGAATAAGTTTTTGATTCCGAACTAATTTTTCTTTAAATGTCTTATTAAAGCATTGCAAATTAGACCGACAAACTGAGTACTTGGCTTCGCTGTCAGTGGTGAGAGGCAAAATGATTGAGGTCTATAATCATTATTATGAAACACAAAAGGCCTAACATAACCTATGATATGCCCTAACCCCTGAAATAATCATTGCCATTATAGTAATAATTAAGAGAGTGCATAATTAATTAATGGGACAAATTCCGAAATGAGCATGCTCTTGCAAATAACTACGAAATCAGTAATTCGGGATTTTGGATATGGAACACTTAATGAGAGCCCATTAAGCTTCACATTAGGGCCTCATGCCATTTTTGTCACATTGTCTATTATTTTCAACACAAAAACAAAGTGGCAATGATTAACAAAGAAAATTAACAGAACAATATATATCCTACTTCCGCATTTTTGTAATACATAATTATAAAGATCATGCAGAAAATTTGAACCTTGTTAGCTAGCTATTTTGTCATCCACCAAACTGAATGACAATCTGTATTCCCAAAAATTTTAGTTAAATTTGTTTCCGCTCAATCAGTTTATTTCGATTCAACAATGCTACCAAATTACCAATTTACACGACCTTATATATCTACACAAAGCTTCAAACTGAGGTTTAATTATCTTCCTATAGAAAGTTTCTTGTAATTGAAAACTTATACAAGTGTGTCTTGCTACAGTTTTCTAATTCTTGTGTTAAATAAGAGTATAATTATGATTGTTTTGATTGAGCAAATTATAAAAGAAAAGAGCACAAAGAGATTATAAATTACTAAGCCATTAAATTAAACTGTAAAGCACCATCATCATCCTATATCATTTTCTGCATGTCATTACCACTCAAAAACAGACCCTTCTCCCTTCCTCTATCTATGTATATATATGATGATGATATGAACTTANCCGTATTTACTTATATATAAGTTTTGATTATGAGACAAGAACATGTCTCTGAGATTTATATCTTCTTCTTCTTCCTATCTTCATCACCACCATACCTATCTACCCTGCAACAAACCAGAAATTAGCATATGATGATCAAACAATGAATGATACATTAGCATATCCATCGAAGTGATGAGTTTCAATGACTTCACCTTTTCTCTTCACCAAAAAGACCCTTGTCAAACTCGTTAAATAGACCGATCATCGCTGCATATGGAAATCATAAGCAGCAGTAGCATTAGATTATGTAAAGCTAATTAGCTCTATCACCAAAATTCTTCATCCAGTTCATACAATGTACCAATCAATATAGCAAAAAGGGTAGCTTGATCAAAAACCTAATGAAGCAAGTAAGTGAAATCGATCAACAAAGCCAATGTGCGGACCTTAGCTGGAGAATTGGATACTCTGAAGCAATCAGCATTCATCCCCACAAGACACAATCCAGGTGAAATGACCTATAGATGAAATCAATCACCAACAACACACATGAGAGAGAGTACCTAAATACAAAAAACAGAATCTTGTTTGTGTGAGGCATTTCGTCGAACACCTGGTGGTTGTGACGACTTACATCGAGATATTTCTGCAAAGTTTTGGTCCTCTTTCGTGGGCGGCGAGATGGTCTGTTCCCACTCATGCTGAACAAGTCTTCTTCGATTTCATCACGAGAAAGAGCGATCCAAAGCCGATGATTCTCGTTACCTACTTCAACGCCGCCTAATCCGGGAGAGTCCGCCGGAATTCCTCTCTGCCTGTTTGATTTCGGCTCTATTACCGATTTCTGATTCTTCACCTCCGAAGTTCCTCCTCCGCCTCCGCCGCAAGCATCACCGCCGTTTCCCTTGTTCCTCGGCCGCAGATTCCAAGTCCTCTTGGCTTCCTCCTCTGCTTCTTCTTCTGCCGACACCGGAACTTGCTCTTTCTTCTCTTCGGGTTTCAGCTTCTTCGGGTGATCGTTCTCCGACGACGGAGCGAAGGCGGCGAAGGAGAGACGCGGCTGACGAGTAGACCGTGTCGCGACCACGCGATGCCCAATCTCCGATTTGGGGTCGTCGAGATCAGTCCCACGGGTGAGAGGAGAGAAGCTATGGCCTCCATGGAGAGACTTCGAATTCGCCGACATTGGATTGGATTGGATTCGATGATTGAGAGATCAAAAACCCTAAAAGCAA